TTTGCAGAAAATGTCCCCCAAAGTCAGTCCTAACAGTGCATTAAAGCACTCTTGATCCTAGGTAGGGTTTTCAAAAAGTGGTGTTCATGGTGGTAGTGGCAAAGAGGGAGGCATCCAGCTGCTGAATCATTCCACATTTTCCCAAAAGGAGCATTTCCTGCTTGAATGCTAATAAATAGAAAAAAAACTCTTTGTCATTGCCTAATGACTCCTGACTTCCACACAAGTTCTGAGTTTACTGAGTTGCAGTTTTTTGAGAATTAGTGTTCAGTGTTTATTTTCAAAGATGGAGATATTTATCCTTAGACAACATCTCATTGCAGTGGCTTTATTTCTGTTAGAGCAAACAACAAATGGAGGTGCAATCATTTTGTCAGCTTAAACTGAGAGGAAGGAAATAACACAATAGGCAACTGATGGAGAAGTGTGTTTTGACTGACTGGTGGAGCACACTACAATAGAGCTAATCAGGAAACAGAGTCCCTGTATAAACACAGCCTCACAAAATTGCATTTTTATGAATGAGTTGCTTCATGTGATTTCCTACTACTTTTCACCTTGTGTGGTAATTTTCTACTGTGCCAAGAAAATGAAAAGCAATGATTCTTATCTGGTAGCAGGACTGTTGGTGATAGTGTGTTAGAGGTTCAGTCCACAAAGTCCAAGTGAGAACCCTTGGCTTTTTAAACAAGCTTTTAACCCTTCAAGTGAGCAGTTCATTCCCTTTTAGCCAAACTACAGCTGTCACATTTCCATTTACATCTGCACAATTGGCTCTCACATTTGCTTTGTTGTAAGCAGCGACATGAAAGATGAAGCAGTAGCAGGTCAGGCCTGAAGCATTTTACTGCCAGCCTCTGAGAAACCTCTTGGCACAAGCTGGGATTTCAGGTGAGACAAAGGGAGTTAGGTACATATCTTTTTAAAAGGTAAAATGCTGAGTTTCTCATAGCAACATATGCCCTCTGGTTAATATATTGATTGAGGGTTTTGTATGCAGTTAGCTCCATTGTCGTCTGCGGTGTGCAAGTTGCAGTATCACTGCCAAGGTTTGCCTTTGCCAAAGTAGATCTAAGCCATGTCTGGAAGCATATGTATTTGAACTGGGAGTGAACAAAAGCTTAACTTTGGGTATGAGCTACTTTCAGATTAAGGATTTGGCATGCAGTTATTTGCCCCAGAGGATGCTATTCAAACAGATCTGTTCTGCTGTCAAAAGGTTAGCCAGATTCTTGATTGAATGATACTAGAGGCTCTGTGTTAATTAATGGTGGGAAAATGCCAGATCTTTTGATTGAAGGAAGTAGGCTGGCATGCAATTGTCTCATAGATGCTTTGAAACAATTTTGTTAGATTCCTTGCATTCTGTTTCATATTTAAATAATTTTTCATTTAATCATTGCAAATGTCCAGGCGGTACGTCAATAGTAAAATTATAGAACAGCAAATGTACTTTGGGTGGTTATCTCAAGAAGAGGGAAGTCATTATCCACCACTAGGAAGAAGAAAGCTGTTCCCCAGCATTTGACAGTTCTTAGCCACATGGGAATTAACATTTTAGCTCCCTTCTAAGAGTTATCTGGTCTGGAAAACACTCCAGCTATGCTGAGTGGCCCACACACAAGAAAGAGGCCCTTCAAATCAAAAGCAGCTGGATTTCAGTGATGACCCTGGTGCTGACTGGCCGCACACTGGAGCAGTTCGGGGCCTGGAGCACAGGTGATGCCGGTTGGCTTGGGGCATGCCCTTTTGCATGGCACAGGGGAGTGGGATCTGCATTCAATTCAGAAGTTGTGCTTAGCTGAGCCACTCAAAATACACAGTAAGAGACTTGAGTTCATTGTAGCAGCAGTTTGGGCTCCCTGTCTGTCACTGTGGATGCTGTAAAAGTCTGAGTGGAGCAGGGAGGGTGCTGTGAAGCTGCTGCAGAGGGAAGGTAGGAAATAGTGTGGGGAAACAGAGCTGTGTCAAATAACAAACTGTGAAGGAACTGGGGCTTACTGAGAAGCCTGATGGTTTTTCTAGCTGGTTATGGCTGCTTTTCCCTATGTAAAGATATCCTAAGGCTGTTTGTTTTCAACTGCTTTCTACTTTTTCAAGAGAACTCATTAGTGTGTCTGAATATGGAATGACAGATTTTTGAAACAGTAGGGCTGTGGTGGGGGAAAAAATGAACCTCCAGGCTCTGAGGCTTCACTGGCACTTAAAGGTAGGAGCCACTCCTATAAGGCAGTTTTCTTCTTTAGTTGGTCCTGTGAGTAGCCAAACATTGACCTGTGCAGCACATCATGCTCTGCTTTATCTGACAGAGATCACTGTGTAACTCACTGGAAAGACCAAATCTTTTACAGGTCTGTTTTCTGCTTTCTGCAGCATTTCTGGTGTGACAGCATACTCCTTGTGACTATGACAAAGAGAGAATAAAAGTATCATTTATGCTGGGAAGGAAAATGCACCTGTATGAACAGCTGAAGAGGATCACATCAGTCTTGATCTGTACAACTCTGTCTCTTTAAAACCCTCATGGACAAATGAAGTGACAAGTGTTGTTGAAATCACAGCAACGTGATTATTGTCCTAAAGTTTGTGTTACTTTTGAATGGGGTGAATATAAGCATAGGAGGAAACAGCACTTCAGACAGTTCTTGAGCAGTCTGGCTGCTAAACAGCCTCTGGCCATGTTCATCAGTGTCTTTTGGGAGGCACATGCATTGCCAGGTGCCTCTGAGTAAAGAAATGTCTTTCCAGCTTGTCATCCAACACCTGTGACTTCCAGCCATGCCCCAGGTAGTGAGTGCTGTACTCCTGGGACAAGGTACAGAAGCCTCCCCTCAGTCTCAGGTCTGTATCTGTCTGTAGCTTCCATAAACAAATCCAGCCCAGGCAGTCCCAGCCTGCTCACTGGATGAAATCCTAGAATGATGAGGAAATGCAAAGCAACCCCTCAGGCTGCTGCATTGTTAGACCAGTACCTTCCAAAGGTGGGTCTGTCCAGGTGGCCGCAGGAACTGCTGCCTTGGGAAGCTGATGTCATCCTTGTGGCTTCACCATGCTCAGAGCAGCCCGGGGGCATGCTGCATTCCATGGCATTTGGAAGGGGAAAAAAAAAGTGTAGACAGCTGTATCACAGCTCTTCCCTTGACAGTTCATGAGGTGGATTCAGTTTCATAGCAGAATTACTGCCCCTTTGATAATAGGAAGAACATGTAGAGTACATTTCATGTAGCTTTGTGGGAGGTGAAGTAAGAGTTTATACTGTTAGCTTTATTACATACCTGTTGATACTGTTGATACAGTAACAGCACTAACTTTTTGTTCTTCTTTTCCTTAAGCAATGCTGCAAATCAGTGCCCCATATCTATAAACTGTTCCTAGAATTAAAGAAACTTCTTTTAGAGGAATAGGAATTTGAATATATGTTTTTAGACTTTTGTCAAGTACAGAGATCATGTAAGTCTAGAGCCCCTTGTAACTGAAAATATCTTGTGTTGTCTTTCTGTTTAAGAAGGACGAAAAGTGAATTTCATAAGGTGAATAAGTCATCTGATGTCTGACCTCTAAAATAAGATTAGCCTTTGTTTTCAGTAAACACATCTGACATTGAAGAGCCAGCAGTTTGTTGCATTCTCATCCCAAAATCCCTTTGAGCCATTTCAGTTCCTATGGAAAGAGCTCTGACAGGCTGCCAGTTCATTACTGTGATTTCTCTCCAAGAAGAACATGGCAGACCATAACTATTTAAAATGTGACATGCAGGAGCACATTTAGAGAACTTCCAAATGTTGCAAGTAAAGCTGAGGGAAACAGGGGGAAGCCCTGATCAGATTGGGTTAGAAAGGGTGTAGGTAGAAATGGGATATGAAGAGAATATGAAGTAAGGAAAGCCTGATCACACTGGCACAGCATGGATGAAGCTGCTCCAGCAACTTTTCTGCATATTCTACAATGAACAGAGTACTATTTACTGCCAGAAAATAAAAATGATAATATAAGAAAAGCATAAAGGTAGGAAGAAAAGCCTGAAAAAAGGAAGAAAAGGCTAAAGAAAAAACAAAACCCTCTTGTAACTATACCAGAAACTGAAACTCTGAGGCCATTGTGGATGTAAAATTGGTTTGTAGATTGACAATCACTGTTGTTTATTTTACAAACTCTGGTCAAATAATTTCAGGTGATGAGTTTTAACAAGAAAACTTTGAAGGTAATTTTTAAATGTTTTAATTTCATGTGGTGCAAGATGCTGTACTTTATGAAAAACATTTCTCCCCATTTTCAGGAATACACAGTCATTTATTTCAAGATAAGCCAAATTTACAAAACCTATTTGCACAGTCTGGCCCTGAGTTTTCAAACAGGGGTGTGAAGCCTGTGCCTGCAGCTATACTTTTTAACAGTTGTGTTATCTGCTTGCTCGAGCAGTTCCCTGGCAGGAAAGACTGGGGTGTTGTTTCCTGCTCTCAGATGGAGATATTCCTGCACAGCAGGAAGCAGGGTCCCCAGTAAGGCTTTGAGGAGAGGCTCTGGGTACCCTGCCTGCTGGGATGGGAGTCTAAGCTACTGTGGAGCTGCTGGGTTGCTTCAAGCACAATCGTGTGCAAGTTTTCTATGCATTGTTTTGGACAGGCATAAAGACATGTTGGGACTGGTCACACTGAGATAGATTTGTCTGACACTTCAAATTCACTGTGTTAACTTTGCAGTGTGAGGGTCTAAACTGCTTGTTCTACTTATTACATGTAAGTTAAAAGTGAAAAATTGAGTTTGTTTTGCTGCTTCGTGCTAAAAATGTCATTCTTGAAACTGGTAATTTCTCTTGAATCAGGGGATTGCCACGGCCACAAGGTAGGTAGTGACACATTGGCTGTGTAACAGCTGTACTATGTAATAAATGTTTACATGCCATCAAGTGTACAAACATTTGATTGCTTACATGACAGAGCTTTTCTTTTGCAGTCATTGGTCTCAATTTTTCCATTACATTTTCTCATTTTCTTTTCTAGCTTTACTCACAGACAAACCTCCAAAGCCATTGTTCCCCATGGAGAACCAGCCAACTGTTATAGATGTCCAGCTGGGTAAGTCCCCTTCTGGGAATAATAGATCCTAAACTTCCACTCTGGTAGCAGATGGGATAAATTGAAAGTGGTAAGAAAGGTTTAGTGGTAGTTATTACATGCAAATCAATTTGCAGCTTCTCATTTATAACTGTAGAATTTACTGCCATGGCAATTTAAGGGAGTGAACATCAGGGGATGGCAGTGCTAATTGGTTACAATGGGTATTAAATATAAAGCACTGATGCTCTTCTTAATATATGATTGGTAGAGTAAAATATGTCTAAATTGGTGCTGTATTGGTCAGTTGATGTTCACCCTAAGACAAATGTTCTCATAAAAGAAGTGCTGATTCCTTTAAAAGTCAGTGTAAAGCATTGCATTTTCAGGTTGTTCTGAATGTGTACCAGAAAGGGCTTTTGACTAAAATGCTTGTATGCTTTTCTCACTCCTGTTATATATTCTTCTGTGAATGCACATCTCTGAATCTCAGCTAGCAGCCTCTATTTTCTGTCATGTTAGAAAATAATGTTAGAGAGTTCTGCTAACTTTGGAGAGCTGTAGGGCATTGTGATACTGAAAGAACTGCTCAGTGTTGAGGTTCCAGGGTTTTTTTTCAGTGACTTGAAAATAGATTTCTAATTTTAAGAGGCAGAATTGGAGTTGCTGTTAAGGACTGTGGTGCCATGAGCTTAAATTACAAGAGATATATTGCATATGGGGATTATTCACTCAGTGCTGAAACTGTGGCACTTTCCTTCTTGAGCTTGACTCTCTTCCTCCTTTATACCAAAGCTGTCTGGAATTCAGAGGTGGAATGGTGTTTAATGGCAAGGAGGGTCAGTGTGAAACATCTTAAGAGGGCTGGTGACATTGTGGTAAAGCTGTTTGTATTTGTGAAATTCTGTGGGTCTCTACTTGAGATGAGTACAAAGACACATCCTTGTTCTTAAACCGGGTGCCAGACAGTGTCAGAGAAGCAATGTGGCTGCTATGAGTATTTAAAAATGGGGCTTGAATTCTTGAATGTGAGAATATAAATGATCTGTGACCTTAAAGATTAGCTTTCTCTCATGCACCTGAATTGACTCATGAGTCTGTAAGGGCTTGCACAGGGAAGACAGCAGTGGATCTGGACAGCAGCCAGTGCCAGATGAATTCTGCAGACAGGTGCATATCTGCATATTTAGGTTCCCCTCCACAGGGCTTGAATATCTGTAGCTGAGCAGAAATTGCCCCTAAAAGAGGATATGAAATGGATCTGGAGCCATAGTTAAAACCCTACCTGAGTTACCAGCAAAACCCAGTCACTGAAGTTTGGATCAGCCCAAAAGGCTGAATTCAGTCTCCTGGTCTAACTTCTTAAAAGTCAACTTTCTAATGATTTCCTTTGGGAGCACACTGTCCCTGTATACATCTGTGTAATAAATGCACTCAGAGTACACATCTTTGTTTCCTGCATTTTCATTTAATCTTAATTTTCTCTTCCAAGTTCCCCTGTTCCAGCAGGACTGTTGGTTTTGCACTGAATTCTTTGTTGTTGTTGTTGTTTACGTGAAAACATTTTGTTCTGGCTGATTAAAAGGAGGTTTGATTAAAAAAATTAAAATAAACCCCCTCCTCTCCATGGAGATGTGGCTCAGTAATAGGATTTTGGAATATCTCTAGGGGGAAATACAGATCTTGCATTTTTATCTGCTGGAATGTAATCCATTAGTTGTCCCTTAAGAGCAGGGAATTTACATATGGTGCTTTTTTCTTTTTTTCTGATATGTTAATAGGTTTGGTTATTGCCACTAAACCATATTCATATGACTGAACCTTAACTTGTTTTGCAGTGAAGATTTCCCTCTTGATTTAACTTGGCAAATAGATGAAGCTGGAAGATTCTCAGGGAGCACCTTCATCTTGTGGAGGCCACCAGCAGCTTGGGGCAGGAAGGCTGTGCTGGCCTCTGAAATGTGCCACAGCCTTGAAGGACTGGGAATTATGTGATTGCACAATGTAAGGTGCGGGGAAGTTTTGTGTAAGGATCTATAAGGTCACTTCATTGAAACCTTGTTAAGCTCCTAGGAGTTTTGAAAAATTTACATTACTCGATATTTTATTAGATATTAAAAGGAAATTTCAGTGTTTTACATGCCCATGGAGTCAAATCACCCAATATGGCTGATTTTTCAGTAGTTATGCAAGTATGAATGTGTCGCTAAGCTGCAAAAGAAATGGAGTTTAATCCATCTACTTGTTCTGCAGAGATTATTTTAGTTTTCTATTGGAAAACTAATCTTTAAAGAAATAGCTGTCTTTCATCTATAAATAGAGGAGATTAATAATTATTTACTGTCTTTATCCTTAATGATTAGCACGATGCAATGCAAAATCTCCCTAGGCCTCTAGGCAGTGGCCTAACTATTTAGCAGCTTATTTGGCCTTACTGCAAACTTCAATATTCACCTTTTAGCTTTCAGATCTTACAGGATGTTTTAGTGAAAACAGGTGTGCACCATTCTTATTGACAGTGGATAAAAGAGCTCCTTCAGGCTTCAAACATGGTCCTGAGCCTGCCTTGTTCTTCTTAAGGAGCAGGAATGTATTTTGTGTTTTCTGTTTTTCTTTGGAGTGTGACAGAGATCTAAAACCAATCTTGTCAAGATTAGAGAGAAGCAGGAACTGGAATTTGCTTCTTTTTTGTTTTCTCTATTTGCTTGTGGTGGAGAAACAGAGCCAGAGATGGGGAAGGGTTGACAGGAGGAAAAAAGAGCATCCCAGAGGACAGGAGAAATAGTCCAAAACAGTTTCACTCATTTGCTTTACCAAGTCAGACAATCATTTCATCTCTGGGCTGACTTAGAAAATAATGACTGATTTTTTGTTTTTGTTGTTGTCCATTTACCGCTTCCTTTTTGTAAACCCCACCCCCCCAAAAAAAAAACCAAACCAACCAAAAAACAAAAAACCAAAAAAACTAGAAAAAGACCCAACTTTTTTATTTGCATTTTAGTTTTTTTGCATTCAGGTCAGTAAAAAAATAGTTCTTGATTGCATTGTATGTGATATGATACATTTAATATTTCTCTACCTTGGTATTAACAAATAATGTTTGTTCTTACTATACAGTGTATATTTTGCAAATATACAGCATTACTCTGATAATAAAATGTTCTTCCTCAAAAAAAAATAAATTCCTGAGTTGTCTTCACGACATTAAAATCAAATTTGATAGTACAGGCCAAAATACACAGCTCTTGTGCCCAGGAGATGGGGTGGCTTTGGCAGAAGGCCTTGAAGACCATCTCCCATGTGAAGCTCTGACTGGAATTTATTGAAGTGTATGCCAGTGTGATCCATAGCTGAGTTGTTCAAAGTCCCCTTTTTTGGAGCAGGAGCTTGCTGTTACTTTGACCATATAAACCTAAGTGTGTTTATGGATTGTTCGTGCCAAATCCCTGAGTTTAGAGAATTCCTTATGTGATTTAGAAGAGTAAAGATTGAGACCTCAGTCAGGTGTCTTGGGGCTGTGAGCAGTAAGTTTTAAAGACCTGTTATCTACTTTCACATACAGCTGCCTGACAGCAAGTGGAGCATGCTGTGCTGTAAGTCTGAAAATGCCATGTTGGCACGTTGCTCTGCTGATTTCTTAATTCATGTGTTACATTCTTTTCCAGCTAACTTTGTCCACTCTTTGTGCTTTGAGAACATGGAAAGAAGGAAAACCACTCTTTTGTGTTTTGATTACATGATTACAGAGTAGGTTTCTCCTTTGAATTTGCACAGTTTTAGTAGCACCAAGAAGCCGAAATCCCACTGATCCCTGGAACTGTTGTGCTGCCAGCTCTCAGCTGGTATAGGAACAGTGGGACAGAGGCATTTGTGGGAGAAAGGAAGCACAGTTGTGCTCTGCTGATTTTTGGCTGGACACAGATCTGTAAGAATCTATATCTAGCCAGTCTATGTATAAACAGCTGCCAGAGTTCTCTAGCTTGCACCATGGCTGCTATTTTTCATTTGTGTGTTTCACAGAGTATCAAAAAAGCTAAAAATACAATATCAAAATAGATGCTAAATCTGTTAACTCTGTACCATGTATTACAGAGAGTGCAGTGTTAAGTTAGACTTCTTATGAATGAGTTAGTTGAGTGGAATGAATTTTGCATGTTTGGGTCTGTATTAATTGAATATATTATTTGCATATCATTTGCTTTTCAGCTATGTCCTGGTTTTGCTTTCAGGTGTTTACTTAAGAAATGTAGCAGGAGTCTTACAAAACAAAGCAAGAATCCTCTGTGTTAATTCATTTACTGAACAGGAAGGATGTCAAGGGGTTTAACTCGCTTTTGTCATGGTAGTTTCTCTGTTTCTAAAGATGCTGAGGAAAGAAAACACGTAGTTTATGAGGATTGTCATTATTCCTAATAGCTGAACTGTTCAGAAAGATTTTGTTTCTAAAAGATTTAACAGCACAATTCCCTGGGACTCATTATTAGGCAGATCAATAGAGATCAATAGAGCTACTGTAAAACAAGTGCAATGGAATGTACAAAGTTACATCTGCTGACAGGTATAGGAATAGACTAAAAATAGTCAGGACCAAAAAACGCCCTTTTGGCTTGCAACAGTGGCTGGAAGGAATTATTTGAGGAGTGAAAATTCATGCATTTACTGACATTTTAAATATACCACTTCACTTTCCACAGTCTCAATTTTCACTGAGATGCCACTTCTCTCCTTAAATAATAATTTTTAACAAAGAAAGCCCTGCAAGATGTTTGAGGCATTCATTTCATACCAAGCCTATTTATTCAAGACAATCCAGCACTGTCTCATTACAGATTTGCTCATTAAATCTTGCATTCTTTCATGTTTAAAGATACAGGTATTTGATAAGCAGTTGAATAGAGTGGTGATCTTGGACAGAAAGCAATACAGAAAATTTGAACTGTAAAATGCTTCAAATAGAGCAAGCGATTTAAAAGTGAAGTTGGTAAGAAATTCTTATTTAGTGTGCTTGCAGTGTGAAAAGA